ACGACGTCAAAAGATCGGTGTCAGATAAAAAACTATTTTACTTTAGTTTGGGGTGGGGGTTTGACCTCAAAAAGTTTCCATCTAGTAGTAGTAGTAGTCCAGAGTTTTAAATCCGGTTTGGTCCCCGAAGACGAGGGTGCCCGGATTCACCTTAAACTAGTGGCAATCGCTCTTATCCCCTCCCTCCACTTTGCACGATTTAAAGCATCCCTCATCCTCATCCCAACCTTCCCACTCTCCTCCTCCACTTGCATCTTCCACGTTTCTTTGGCCTTCCCCTTTTCCTTGGACCGCTCACCTCTAAATCAAGGGCCCTTCTTAATACATGCCCATCCTCCCTCCTCAGCACATGCCCATACCAACGTACCCCATTTGCCTTCGCCAACCGATCTACCGCTTCCCTCAAACCCAACATCTGCATCAAGTCCTCAGTTATCTTTCTGTCCATCAACTTCACCCCACACATCACTCTCACCATCGCTCTCTCTGTCCTCCTTAAAATACCCAACTCATTTTCACTCAAACACCATGTCTCGCTCCCATACAGCAATGCTGATCTCACACAACTCTTATAGACTATTCCTTTCATCTCCAAGGGAAATCTCTTCCCATATAGTAGCTCTCCACATTCCCTAAACTTCACCCAAGCAAACTCTTGCTCACAGCCGCCTCACACCCACCACCCACACTTACCTTGTCCCCCAGGTATGTAAACTCCTTCACTGACTCAACCTCATCACACAACTTTTCTTCCTGTTCCACCACCCTTCCAACTCCATTCTTACATCTTCCACACGCAAAATCCTGTGCCAGTCTTTGGGTCACCCTCTTTATCTTTGCACATCTCCCATGTATCCACTTCCCACATTTCACACACCGCACTGAATTTACCTTTACCCTCTTTCCACACATGCCACATGGGTCAACCTTACTCACCAAAGCTTTCTCCTCCGTCCCACTCACTCACTCACTTTTGTCTTTCCCAGATTTACCTTCAAACCCTTACTCTCAAATGCTTTTTTCCATTTCACAAACTTCTCCCTCAATCCCTCCATTGTGTCATCCATCAAGACCAAGTCATCAGCATACAACATCTCTCTCATCAGCCCTTCTCTTGCACTCTCTGTAACTACATCAATGACAACTGCAAATATCAATGGTGATAGTACAGAGCCTTGATGCACACCCACCTTCACCTCAAACTCCTCTGACAACTCCGATCCTACTCTAACTCTTGTCTTTGCTCCTTCATACAAACTCATCACTGCTCTTACCATTGCCTCTGGTATACCTCTCTTCCGCATTGCCCACTCCATCACCTTCCTCGGGACTCTATCAAAGGCCTTCTCTAAATCCACAAAACACATACAGTTTCTTCCCTTTTGCACGATATTCCTCTTGCATCCTCCTCAGAATAAACACTGCATCAATTGTTCCTTTCCCTGGCATAAAACCAAACTGCATCTCATCCACTTCCACTAATTTCCGGATTCTATTCACTATCACCCTCTCCACAATTTTCATTGCATGCTCTAATAGTTTCACGCCCCTATACGCGCCACAACTCTTTGCATCCCCTTTTCCTTTAAAAATTGGTACTACCACACTCACTTCCCACTCCTCAGGCATTCTTCTTCCATCTAAAACTCTCTGGCATAACTCCATTATCACACCAATCCCTATGTCTCCACTTGCAAAAATCATCTCCGCGCTCACTTCCGAGGGTCCAGCAGCCTTTCCAGTTTTCATGTCTCTGATTGCCTTCACTACTTCTTCTCGACTCACTCTTTCAACTGGCCCTTCCACCAGATCAGCCTCCACATCCTGATCCCACTCATTCTCCTCATTCATGATTTTTTCCATATGTTCTTTCCAGACATCCTACAAAAACGATTTTATTTTTTAATGAAGTCAAAAAAACCTTGGAGTATCTGTAGTTCGTTTTTTTCCATCCAATCATAGACAAAAATAACAGAAACTGAAAAAAAAACATCCAAGACGAGAAAATGGTTTGGTTCGAGTGTAAATATGTGTGTCAAATAAGGTCAATTTCTGGTCATGGACCTAGAGCATGCGCAAAAAGTACCTGAAAAGTAGTTTGCGCATGCGTATATTCGCTTCATTATTACAACCAACTGCTACGCCATACTACTGTCTGATTATCAATTTGTATTTAATGGTTAATGTAGTATGACGCCATGATCAATATTTATCAATTAAGTTTCAGTGGGGGTGGGGGGTTTTGGAAAAAAACTAAAAGAATTAATTTTTTTATCCGACATCGTTCTTTTGACGTTGTCCCTAATGGTTATAAAATCCATAAATATGTGAGAATTAATCACAAAATGCATGTAGTAATGCATGTAGTTTTATATGAAAAAGAAAAACAGAAACAGCTTGAAACAAACACTAAACAGTTTTTTAGAAAATCGCTCATTCTTTAGTACTGTAAATCGGTATTAGAAGTC